TTTTCCCTTTTGATGCCGTAAGTTTCTTAAAGCTTCTATTCTCTCTCTCTTTTTTTTATATATTCACATATATAATGTGAGCCCCATATATTTACACGTATTTTTGTTCGTCGTTGTCTCTGCCTCTGTTTATCTCTTTCCTTCGCACACGTATCTTCTAAATACTTCTTTCCCACTCCACCTTTTCATTATTTAATATGGACAATCATATTGTATTTACTGCATGTGTATTTGCAAGAAAACGCGGACAAAATGAAAAAGGAAAACAAAATTGCGCATCAGGTGATCGAATCGGCTTTGTCACCTGATGAGGAGTCAAGTAGGACTCGAAAAGTCACGATCCATTTTCATTTCTGATTGTTTTATTTCAACTTTGTGAACTGTCTTTATATATATATATATATATATATATATATATATATATATATATATATATATATATATATTTTTTTTTTTTTTTTTTTTTTTTTTTTTTTTTTTTTTTTTCTTTTTCTTTTCTTTTCTTTTCGTTATAATTCCTAAGACTGTTCCTTTTCACAGGCTGTTTCTCATGGACTGATGACGCTAATCTTCTCAATATGATCCAGACGGAAAATCATAAAAAATCCAGAGAAAAATGAACCAACTAAATGTTATATCATTGAATGTATTCAAATGCAAATAAAATTGGTGTAACTAACCAGAACAGATTTATATTCTCCTTGTGCAACTACGCAATGGAAGTGCGATCAGCCTGTATTGCAGGATTAATGTGCAACTTTCTCAAAGACTGAATGGGCGAGGAAGTTTTGCATGTGGTATTGATCTCTGAATAGTTGTTTGCTGCACGCCTCTGCGATGCATCTATTTATCTATATATATATCTTTCCATTTCTCTCTATATATGTGTGTGAACATATATATTCATATATATACACAAATAGTTACATATATCTGCAACTATGACAAGAATATTGGAAAAAAATAAGCGAATCGTAAAAGAGAAAATGACTGCTGGATCCGCATGAGAAATGTATAAAATCTGCAGCTCCAAAGAGTGCCCGTGAGGACGCCGTGCAACACCAGGAAAAACTTGCGGTAACTAAAGATTGACTGATTATTTAAAATTATCTGCCGCGTCAACAGCTAAGGTCTTCAGCGGCTTCAGCGACTCAGCATTCAGTAATTCTGTGAAACATATAACCATTTTAAGCTATCTCACATATTTCTTCTCATATACATACATACAAATGTTCTTTTTTTTTCTTTTCTTTTCTTTTCTTTTGTGTGTGAATACATACACACACACACTCGGTGGTCCCGGTCGCTATGGCGCCCATTCCCCTTCCGCTGATGCCCTAAGTTCATTTCGGTTTCTACTTTTTTCTCATTTTCCCTGTCTATTTATTCATCTGTCTGTATGTCTATCTGTTTATATATAGAATTGTGTTTCATTTCATTTTCCGTTCCTGTGAGCATTTTCGTACATATTTATGGATACATCCCGTATATCTGCAGGTCTGTTGCCCATAATGACAATTACTTTTTCATTGTAATTCTTGCTCTTAATTTACAGGATAACTCCCATGGGCCGCTGACGCCATTCGTTCTGAATATATTCTAACAGAAAATATTTCCACAAGTACACAGAACAAAGTAAATTAACCCATTCGCTCCGGATTTATGTTCTGCCCCCTGCAGTTGTTGTTGTTGTTGTCTTTTCTTTGTTTGTTTAGTTTTTTTTTGTGAATGTGACATACAGATGGATCCACATGTGCTCAGCCGACAAGGAGTCTATCAGTAGCCCTAGTGACCGATCCTGAGTTCCCCATTCTTTGAATTGGCGGGAAAATGTTTTTTTTTCTCTCTTTTTAATACAGTTGACATCGATACCGATATTACTCTTATTAATGTTATGATCATCAATTTGTTATTAAAATCTCGATAACATTTACGGCAATGAAATAATGCAAAAAAAACTTTTTCAGAAGTCGAGGAAAGGGTAGACAGGTGAGACACGTAGGACTAATAACCTTATAGAGCCACCTATGTGTAAATGCAATAAATAAACTTGAATCACATTGGGCATGGCATGTATTCTTGCCATGTTATTAGGTTAAGACTGGAGTTGCTTCTCCATAAGCAACTAAGTAATGGAAATAGCAATATCGTATATTGTAGTACAACATATATATATATATATATATATATATATATATATATATATAAGAAAATGACTGCTGGATCCGCATGAGAAATGTATAAAATCTGCCGCTCCAAAGAGTGTCCGTGAGGACGCCGTGCAACACCAGGAAAAACTTGCGGTGACTAAAGATTGACTGATTATTTAAAATTATCTGCCGCGTCAACAGCTAAGGTCTTCAGCGGCTTCAGCGACTCAGCATTCAGTAATTCTGTGAAACATATAACCATTTTAAGCTATCTCACATATTTCTTCTCATATACATACATACAAATGTTCTTTTTTTTTCTTTTTAATACAGTTGACATCGATACCGATATTACTCTTATTAATGTTATGATCATCAATTTGTTATTAAAATCTCGATAACATTTACGGCAATGAAATAATGCAAAAAAAACTTTTTCAGAAGTCGAGGAAAGGGTAGACAGGTGAGACACGTAGGACTAATAACCTTATAGAGCCACCTATGTGTAAATGCAATAAATAAACTTGAATCACATTGGGCATGGCATGTATTCTTGCATATATACTGTGTATGTTTGTGTGTGTATGACATCTATGCACAGACATACATATAAATATATAGTGGTAGAGATACACAATTCACAAACGAGATTCGTTGAATAAATAAATGAACATATGATATTATATAGATGTTTATATGTAAAGGACATATAATAATAAACAAATGAACGAAATATGTATGCATAAATACTAGCATTTATATATATGATTATATACCGTATATTCATGCATATATGTATATTTACATTTATGTGTATATATGTATATACAAATGGGTGTCATTTCAGCTTTTTCTTGGGCGGAGCAAGATTGGGTTAGCGAGCAAATTGAACATAATTAGGAGGGATCGGATAGCTACTCTTGAGGCATTTCTATACTAAAACCAGTATTATATATTTATGATATAGGCAACAGAAATCAAGGGACTAATAACAAAGAAAACTATTCTGCTGGCCCTTGGGGGGGGGGGGGGGAGCAAGCCAGACCTTATGTGTGTGGATGGGGGGGAGGGGGTCATCTTGTATATATGTATATATAACATGGGCATTCAAATTCTAGTTGGATGAGAGGAAAAGTGACTATGACTAAGAATGCTAACTATCATGCGACTCAACAGTCACCTAATATCTGTAATAACTTTGAAATCATCGGAAATAGTTATTCTCATGTGTATGTGTTTCATACATAGATAAACAAATACACATACACAGTATCAGACTATATGTGTGTGTTTACGTACAGATATGTACTTGTATGTTCTTGTAAGTGTAAAATATCTATAAATACATATAAAGTATATATATATATATATATATATATATATATATATATATATATATATATATATATATATATATACATGAATATGTGCATATGTATATATACATGTATCTATGTATGTATATGTGTAAAAGTGTTTGTGTGTAGTTATGTACAAAAAAGAGGGAGAGGAAAGAGAAGGAAAAGAAAGGAAGAGGGATAGAAAAGGTAAAAGAAAACGAGAATAGGAAAAGTAAAGGCTTTGACAAGGAAAAGGCCTCAGGCCTTCAGGAAATCCCGCGTTGTCCTTTCTTATTAAGTAGCCTTGTGACGTAATTACCCCCCTCCCCCCTCCCGAACCCGTGTATAAAAGCCTGGAACCCAAAACTGGACTTCAGTTGAAGCTGCAGCCGATCTTCGTATCAGCTCAAAGTCTACTGAATTTCCACATCCTGTAAATATAGGTATTAAGTTGTAATATCTATGAACATTGTTGCATGGTGTTTGACAACACGCATTTTCATATAGAGAATGAATAATCAATTAATTGATCATTTAATCAAAGTTGTTACAGTTAGAATCATAAAAGAACGACCTATATCTCATACTTTCCTTTCTCATCCAGAATATTTCCGTCTGCAAAATGAAGTTCTTGGCCATTGCTTTCATCTTGTGCCTCGCTGTGGTGTACACTCAGGCTTTACCAGCCGTAAGTATTTTCCCCTCTTTCTTCTCCCTCTCTCTCTATATATGTGTGTGATTAAGTGTATGTTTATGGATGGGTGTGTGTGCTTACCAATGCAATTCTGTACATACTAACCAAACACTATATATTTGTTCCGGAATGGATAGTTCCTCTATAAACTCGTGTATAGTCAACATAAAGAGAGTAAGTATTTTCTCCTTTCTTTCCTATAATTGTAATATATGTGTGAATGGGTGGGTAGATGCATGTGTCTGTCAGTGCAACTCTGTATACTGAAGCCAAATATGAATTAGTTTCGGAATTTAATAGTCGTATATAAACTCGTGCATACTCAACATCTCTGAATAGGAATAGCATTACTTGTGACAAAACCTTGCAATAATACAAATACGCTTTCTCAGTGAATCGATCAATACGCAAAGAATAACAAATGTTTGATTTCATCCTCATTACCTGTAGTAAGAGCAAAACCTTTTATGCAGGAAATGCCATCTTCACCACTGCTGCTGAGTCGGGTGGCCAGGTCACCTCACTCTCCTCACCGAGACTGTATCCCGTGTACTTGCATAAAGAAGGTCACAGTCATCACCATAATCGAATATGAAGTAATTCCACCATCCACCAGGTTCGGTGGCAGCCGCCAGTGCTGCCCATGTCCTAACTTCTAATGGCGTAAGTTTTTCTTGGCTTCTATTCTCTCTCTTATTTACATTCATATATATGTGTCCGTGTGCTTGATATATTCACACATTTTTGTCCGGTCTTGTCTCTGCCTCTGTTCATCTTTCTTTCGTACACGTTTCTTCAAAATACCTCTTTCCCACTTCACCTTTTCATTATTGAATATGAACAATCTTATTGCACTTATATTTGTAAGAAAGAAAACGCGGACAAAATCAGAAAGGAAAACAGAACTGTCTTTTCACTCAGACTCCAAGCCGCATCAGGCGATCGAATCGGCTTCATTACCTGATGAGGAGTCAAGTAGGACTCGAAATGTCACGATCCATTTTAATTTCTGTTTTATCTCATCTTTGTGTATTCGTTTCTCCGTTTTTGTTTTCGTTTTATAAATCCTAAGGCTGTTTTCCTTTTCACAGGCTGTTTCTCATGGACCTTCTGAGTATGTTCTAGACGGAGAAACAGTGAACACACCAAATGGTATATTTTTGAATATTTTCATATGCAAATAAAATTGATGTGACTAACCAGAGCGGTTTTATATTCTTATGCAATAAGCCTGTATTGTAGGATTAAAGTGCAACTTTTCCAGAAACTAAATGCACGAGGAAGTCTATCACGCGGCGTTAATCTCTGAACAGTTGTTTACTGCAAGCCTCTGCGATGCATCTGTATATCTGTCTCTGTCTTTCACTATACACGTGTGTATATGCGTGTGTGCATGTATATTAATATACCATACATATATGTGTGTGTGTGTGTGAATAAGTAGATAAATATATTTGTAACCAAGACAAGAAATATTGTAAAAAATAAGCGAATCAAAATAGAGAATATGTCAACTATGTCCACATGAGGAATCTGCAAAATCTGCCTCTCCGAATCCCGGTTGGACAAGGAAGGAAAGGGGCGCTCGTGAGGACGCCGTGCAACACCCGCGGAGACTAAATAGCTCACTCTTCAGCGACTCAGTGTGCAGCAACTTTGTGCAACACTTGACCATTTTAAGCCATCTCACATATTTCTTCTCATATACATACATGCGTATATGTATTATTTTTATTTTCTTCTTTTGTGTGTGAAAACATATATATCTACATGCATACATCGACAGATTGACATCCACATAGATGAATATATAGATAAATATAGATGGGTGTTTGTGCATATTTGTTTATAGCCATAAGAAGATTGCCAGATGGGAGGAAACTGTAGCGACCCTAAGAAACAGGGGCCGGATTTACTCAACTCTCTCGTAATCGCTGCCTCTCGTAACAGTTACAATAGTATCAACAATTTCTCAACTAGCGTTACGACCCCCGTTCAAACGTTAAACAACGAGAGTATAGGGGTCTCGTAACCGTTACGACTGTACGTCTGATTTCCAAAAAAGAACGGCTTGAACGACCAATCAGCATTAGTTCGAAAAAATCGACCAATCACAGAGGGTTACCCGCTAAACTGAGGCAGCAATAATGAGGCTTATCAATAACAGTTTCTTTATGAAAGAAAATCACATATGTGATTAAACAGCCTTCCCAAAATGATGTTCCATTCAATTAGGCAAATAAAGGAAAAGTCAGGAGACTTTAATGCCAGCATTTTTTTCTAGTTAGAGTCAGGTGCAACGGGTCACTTCCACCTGTAAATGCCTACATTAATCATCGCCACCTTTGTCAATAAACGCATAAATTCTGATATTAATATATATCTACAGCTACTTATCTATCTATTATATGTAATAAAATCATAACATATAAGTATATATCAATTAATACATATACATATAAATATTCACATATACAAACACATATATATATATTACACATATACATATGTTTGTCTCAATCTCTTTCTCTCCCTTACTCAGTACTTTTATCTAGGGGGCCGCCGTAATACAGTGGTAACGCGCGCGGCTGTCGGCCAGAGGGTGTGCAAGCGCACGAGTTCGACTCCCGGCCACGGACCGAGGTTAGGAAGGGCATCCACTCGGGGTAACGGTGTCCACCTGCCAAATCCTGCCTGCCCTTCACGGGGGAGGCCCGTCGTAGCCCTTGATCAAAAAGGGAGTTCCGTGACGTTAAACCAAAAAAAAAACAAAAAAAACTCAGGACTTTTATCTCATTTTGAGTAAATAAAAAAAATATCAAAACATCACTCAAAACCATTTCATAATTTCATAAAGAGATTATGATACACTACAACAAATTTGTTAAAATTATTGTTTCTCATTATTCATCAGTAAGTTAGTGCCTTGCTTCCATAATAACATTATATCAGTGTATTAAGAGGTACGCTTATATACTAATAACCTCTGTTATTGAATATTTATTATAGTTTGATGTTCAAGAGAAACGTAGTCATACTGAAGGATGTTATACATTTTCATTCAAAATTCGTTCCTTTAATTGATGATAACTTAAACTTGTTGAGTGATTTATATTAGGCCCACATATAGTGATTCTGTGGTCTCCGCGGATCGGCAAAGGCCATCCTTATTTACATTAGCCATATTGTTTTTAATGATACTATGCCTCCTATATGTCATAACTGCACACTCTTGAAGGTATTTATGAAGCTTATATGAGCGGAAGAGGATCGCCACGATGAAAGTTACGAGTGATTTTGGCCACTCGCTAATGTCTCTCGTACGAAGACGTGTTTGCAATCTCAGAAGTGTTTTAAAAATACGCTCGTCGGGCGAAACGAGAGAGTAGCTTGATTTACGATGTAAACAAACCTCATACGATCCCATATATGCGTTCGAAAATCCGGCCCCAGGCAAACATAGTGAGAAAAGAAACAGATGAAATACGAGAAAGATAGGCACACGGAGAACTAGACAAAGTGTCAGTGAGAGAGTAAGGAGTGGATGGGGAAATTCTAGGTACCATGTCCTTCATGTATCATCCAGTTGAAGGTTTTCTCTCTCTCGCCAAGAAACTAGGACCTGATTTCAAAGCCCGTGCAACTTCACAAGAAAGGACAACGCGGGATTTCCTGAAATAAGGCCTGAGGCAGTTTCCCTGTCGGTCCCTCTGCGTTATATTTTTCTTGCTCTCTTTCTTTTTTCTCTCTCGCTCTGTCACTCTTTCTGTCTGTCTATCTCCCTCTTGGTGTGTGTGCATAGATATCAAATGTAATCTACTGTGCATTACAAAGCCCGTTATACAGTACATAAGTGTTAATACACTTGCACAGTATATTGATTGCATACACAGAAGACATGTATATCTGTAAATGTACATGTATCAATGTATAGAACTGGCATAGCTTAGAGGTAGAGCACTAGCTTTGAAATCAAAAGGTCCTGGCTTCTTGGCAAGTTTCTATTTTACAATTAGTAGAAAAATATGTCGGTAGCCGGATATTCGAACGTTTTTATTCCACAGTGTTAGTCCAATAAACCCAATCTGAAAAGTATGGTTTAGTATTGTTCATATATACATACACACAAACAGACGTGTGTGTATATATATGCAGAGGAAGGGAGAAAGCGAGAGCAACAGAGAAGAAGTTTAACTGAAAGATACATGATGGATATAGTATCCTAGAACTGCCTGTCAGTTTTTATTAATATTTTTAAAATGTTTTCCCATTTCCCATTCCATCGCCTACTCTCTCACTGTCTAGCTCTGTTTGTTTTTCTCTTATTTCCTCAGGCCTTATTTCAGGAAATCCTGCGTTCTCCTTTCTTATGAAGTTGCCCTGTGACGTAATTACCCCCCTTCCCCCTCCCGAACCCGTGTATAAAAGCCTGGAACCTAAAATTGGACTACAGTCGAAGCTGAAGCCGACCTTTGCATCAGCTCAAAGTCTACTAAACACCCACATCCTATATTTTCAAGTAATAGCTTATAATTTTAGTAAAGATTGTTGTGTGCTTCTTGCCAAGAAATTTCATATAGCGAATAAATTGATTAAATTAATTCAATATATCGGACTAAGGATTTTTAAACTAAATTTCACATTCTCTCCCCTTCCAGCCCATTTCCGTCTACAAAATGAAGTTCTTGCCCATTGCTGTCACCTTGTGCCTCGCTGTGCTGTGCACTCAGGCTTTACCAGCCGTAAGTATTTTCCCCTCTTTCTTCTCCCTCTTTCTATGTGTTTGTGATCAACTGTTTGTTTGTAGATGGCTGTATATGTTTACCAATGCAATTCGGTACATACTAACCAACCACTATATATTTGTTCCGGAATCTAATTGTTCCTATATAAACACGTGCATACTCAACATCCCTGAAGAGGACATAATATTACTAGTGACAAAACCTTATAATAATACAAATATGCTTCCTCACTTAACTGAAATATCAACAGCCGAAAAAAACAAGTGCTCCATTCCATCCTCATTTACCCTTTAGTAACAACAAAACCTTTCATGCAGGAAATGCCATCTTCACCACTGCTGCTCAGTCGGATGGCCAGGTCCCCTCAATTCCCTTACCCAGACTGTGTCCCGTGCACTTGTAAAACGACCATCACAGAAATTACCATAATCGAACATGAAGTAAGACCAGCATCCACAAGGTTCGGCGGCAGCCCCCGATGCTGCCCATGCCCTCCACCTCCTTTCTGATGCCGTAGGTTTTTGAAAAAAAACACTGAACAACCCAAATGGTATATCATTATTGAATGTATTCATATACAAATAAAATTGCTGTAACTAACCAGAGAGGTTTTTTATTCCTGTGCAAATAGGCAATGGAAGTGCGATCAGCCTGTATTGCAGGATTAGTGTGCAACTTCCCCAGAAGCTGAATGGCCGAGGAAGTTTTGCATGTGGTGTTGATCTCTGAGTAGTTTGCTGCACGCCGCTGCGATGCATCTGTTTATATGTCTTTCTCTATATGTGTCTACGGATATATACAAGTAGATTCATATAGATGGGTGTTTGTGCATCTTTATTTTTCTCCATAAGATTGCCAGATGGGAGGAAACTGTAGTGACCCCAAGAACCAGGGGTCGGATTTACTCAACTCTTTCGTAAACGCTGTCTCTCGTAACAGTTACAGATAGTATCAACGATTTCTCAACTAGTGACGTTACACCCCTTTTCAAAAGTAAAACAACGAGAGTATAGGGGTCTCGTAACCGTTACAACTGTATTATTGCTAGGTATCTTGGGACTTTATTTCCTAAAACGGCTCGATCGACCAATCAGTGTTAGTTTGAAAAAAATCGACCAATCACAGAGCGTTACCCGCTGAACTGAGGCAGCAATAATGAGGCTATACATATATGTATTTCTGTGTGTATGTGTGTATATGTATATAGTATACTATAGCACTTTTTAAATTGGGTTTATTTGATTATGACGTATTTGTTTGTGAAAAAAACGTTTGAATATCCGGCTACCGACACTTTTCTACAAATTGTAAATGGAGACCTGCCAAGAACCTGGAACCTGATTGCAAACCTGTGTTCTACCTCTAAGCTATGCCACTTCTATACAGTGATGGATAAATATTTACAGATATACAAGTCTTATATGTCTGAATATATGCAATCAATATATTGTACATGTGGTCACACACATGTACAGTATTATATATAAATGCATATGTCAACGTTTAGTGTGATTGTCGGGTTTTCTAATGCATAGTACATCGTTTTTGATATCTATGCACACAATGACACAAAAAGTGACAGACCGGTAGAGGAAAAAGAGAGCAAGAAAATATAACACAGGTACCGACTGGGAAACTGCCTTAAGCCTTAAGTTGTCTTGTGACGTAATTACCCCCCCCCCCCCCACAAGTATTTTCCCCTCTTTCTTCTCCCTCTTTACGTGTGTGGGATCAAATGTCTGTTTTTTGGTGTATGTTTTTACCAATACAATTCTATACATAGTAACTAAACACTACATATTTGTTGGGGAATTTCATAGTTCCCATATGTGTACTCAACATCTCCGAAGAGAAATAGTTGACATAATATTACTCGTGTCAAAATCTTGCAATAATACAAATATGCTTTCTCAATTAATAGAAATATCAACAGCCGAAGTTCTATTCCACCCTCATTACCCTTAGAAACAGCAAAACTTTTTTATTCCATCTTCACCACTGCTGCTGAGTCGGGTGGCCAGGTCACCTCACTTCCCTCACCGAGACTGTATCCCGTGCGCTTGAAAAACGACCATCACAAAAAAATACCATAATCGAACATGAAGTAGGGCCAACAGCCGCAAGGTTCGGTGGCAGACCCAGTGCCCCGGAAGCTTTCAGGCTTCTATTGTCTCTCCCTCTTTTATATACATTCATATGTATAATTATGTGAACTTCATATATTTACACAGGTTTTCGTCTTGTCTCTGCATCTTTTCTCTTTCTTTCGCACACGTTTCTTCTAAATTTGTCTCACTTTACCTTTTCATGATTGAAGAAAGCGATTCTTGCTCTTCAGTCACAGGATAATTCTCATGGACAGCTGACGCAATCATTCTGAATTTATTCAAACAGAAAATAATTCCACAAGAACACAGAACAAAGCAAATGCTTCATTGCTAAATCAAGATTGGAGTTGCTTTTCCTTAATCAAGTAGGTAATGGAAATTCCTGCATATTGTGTGTGCATAATATTATGTTACCATAATCGAACATGAAGTAGGGCCAACAGCCGCAAGGTTCGGTGGCAGACCCAGTGCCCCGGAAGCTTTCAGGCTTCTATTGTCTCTCCCTCTTTTATATACATTCATATGTATAATTATGTGAACTTCATATATTTACACAGGTTTTCGTCTTGTCTCTGCATCTTTTTTCTTTCTTTCGCACACGTTTCTTCTAAATTTGTCTCACTTTACCTTTTCATGATTGAAAATTGCATTTACTGCATGTGTATTAGCAAGGAAGAACGATTCTTGCTCTTCAGTCACAGGATAATTCTCATGGACAGCTGACGCAATCATTCTGAATTTATTCAAACAGAAAATAATTCCACAAGAACACAGAACAAAGCAAATGCTTCATTGCTAAATCAAGATTGCAGTTGCTTTTCCTTAATCAAGTAGGTAATGGAAATTGTGTGTGCATAACATTTATGTATAAACATACATATAAATGTATATTGGTAGAAAAAAAACATATCAATTCAATGAATACGTAAGTACATATATGTATTATATCATACATGTCTATATGTAAAGTACATAGAAAAATAAATAAATCAATGAATTATGTGTATATATACATTTATATTTCATTACATATATACATATATACATATATATACATATATAAATGCAGGGGCGTCATCTCAGCTTTTTCTAGGGCGAGGCAATGGGCGAAGTGAGCACACGCATTCACTTACAGTGACACACACACAACTGCATATATATACATATATATGTATGTATTGAATATATTACCGTTAGAAATACATGAACCATCCGTATTTCTGATGAAGATTTCGAAACCAGTTAAATACATTTCATTTATTGTGAAGATATTCATTCTCATTCATACCTTTTCTACATATATCGTTGTGTTAATAGAATGTTTCCGACATTAACGCCCTTTCGGAAATCAGGAGAAACAGAGAAAGAAAACGCGGAGAGGCAGAGAATAACATAGAAAAGATGAAATAAGAGGAAAAACAGGCACAGAGAACTAGACAAAGAGAGAGTGAGAGAATAGGCGATGGACGGGGGAAATAGGAAAACATTTGAAAAATATGAATAAAAACCGAGTCAGTTCTAGGATACTATGTCCATCACGTATCATTCAGTTGAACTTTGAAGGTTCTTTCTCGCTTCCTCTCTATTGCTCTCGCTTTCTCCCTCTCTCCGACTCTTTTGATCTATGTACCGTGCATATAAATACATGTGTTTGTGTGTATGTATATATGCACTATACTAAAACATACACTTTTCAGATTGGGTTTATTGGATTAACACGTATATGTGTGGAAAAAAAACGTTCGAATATTCCAAAGCCAGTGCTCTGCCTCTAAGCTATACCACTTTTATACATTGATAGATGTACATTTACACATATATGTCTTATATGTGTATGCAATCTATATACTGTACAAGTGTGTGAACACATATACAGTATAACGGTCTTTGTAATACACAGTAGATCACATTTGATATCTACGCACACACCAAGAGGGAGATAGACAAATAGAGTGACAGAGCGACAGAAAAAAGGGAAGAGAGCAAGAAAAATACAACTCACAGGGACCGACAGGGAAACTGTCTCAGGCCTTATTCCAGGAAATCTCGCGTTCTCCTTTCTTATGAAGTTGCCCTGTGACGTAATTACCCCCTCCCCCCTCCCGAACCCGTGTATAAAAGCCTGGAACCTAAAATTAGACTTACAGTCGAAGCTGAAGCCGACCTTTGCATCAGCTCAAAGTCTACTGAACACCCACATCCTATATTTTCAAGTAATAGCTTATGATATTAGTAAAGATTGTTGTGTGCTTCTTGACAAGAACTTTCATAAAGCGAATAGATTTATTAAACGACTTAAATATATCGGACTAAGGATTTTTAAACTAAATTTCACATTCTCTCCGCTTCCAGCCCATTTCCGTCTACAAAATGAAGTTCTTGGCCATTGCTGTCACCTTGTGCCTCGCTGTGCTGTGCACCCAGGCTTTACCAGCCGTAAGTATTTTCCCCTCTTTTTTCTCCTTATTTCTATGTGGTTGTGATCAACTGTTTGTAGATGGCTGTATATGTTTACCGATGCAATTCTGTGCATACTAACCAAACACTATATATTTGTTCTGAATCAAATAGTTCCTATGTAAGGTCGTGCATACTCAACATCTCTGAAGACGAATAGCTGACATAATATTACTAGTGACAAAACCTTGTAATAATGCAAATATGCTTTCTCACTTAACTGAAACACCAACAGCCGAAAAAAAACAAGTGTTCCATTCCATCCTCATTTACCTATTAGTAACAACAAAACCTTTCATGCAGGAAATGCCATCTTCACCACTGCTGCTTAGTCGGATGGCCAGGTCACCTCAATTCCCTTACCCAGACTGTATCCCGTGCACTTGTAAAACGACCATCACAAAAATTACCATAATCGAACATGAAGTAAGACCAGCATCCACAAGGTTCGGCGGCAGCCCCCAGTGCTGCCCATGCCCTCCACCTCCCTTCTGATGTCGTACGTTTTTCAGGTTTCTATTATCTCTCCCACTTATATACATTCTGATATATAATTATGTGAGCTTCATATATTTACACACATTTTTGTTCGTCCTTGTCTCTTCCTCTGTTTATCATGTTTCTTCGAAATACTTCTTTCTCACTTCACCCTTTCAATCTTATTTCATTTACTTCATGTGTATTTGCAAGAAACAAAACGCGGACAAATGAGAAAGGAAAACAAAACTGCCTTTTCAGTTAGATTCCAAGCCGCATCAAGTGATCAAATCGGCTTCATCACCTGATGAGGAGTCAAGTAGGACTCGAAAAGTCACGATCACATTTTCATTTCTGATAGTTTTATTTCAACTTTGTGAACTTGTTTCTTCGTTTTTGGTTTTTTGTTTTTTGTTGTTTTTTTTGCGTTATAATTCCTAATGCTGTTGTTCCTTTTCACAGGTTGCCCCTCATGGACCGATGACGCTAATCCTCTCAATATGTTCTAGACGGATAATCACAAAAATAAAGAAAAAAACACTGAACCCAAATGGTATATTATTACTGAATGTATTCATATCCAAATAAAATTGCTGTAACTAACCAAAGAGGCTTTTTATTCCTGTGCAAATAGCCAATGGAAGTGCGATCAGCCTGTATTGCAGGATTAATGTGCAACTTTCCCAGAAGCTGAATGGCCGAGGAAGTTTTGCATGTGGTGTTGATCTCTGAATAGTTGTTTGATGCACGCCGCTGCGATGCATCTGTCTATATGTCTTTCTCTATATGTCTGTACGGATATATACAAGTAGATTCATATAGAGAAATTCCATATTGAATTCCATTATAGTATTATATTAGGGTATTAAGAGGTCTGCTTACATACTGATAACCTCTGTTATTGAATATTATCATGATTTGTTGTTCTAGAGAAAAGTAGTCATACTGATGGAAGTTATACATTTTCATTCAAAATTCGTTCCTAATCATGTGTCAGAACTCCTTTAATTCATCATAACTTCAACTTGAGTGATTTATATTAGGCCCACATATAGTGTTTCCGCGGTCTCCGCGGATCAGCAAAGGCCATCCTTATTTACGTTACACAGGATAATTCTCATGAAGCGCTGAAGCAGAAAATAATTCCACAAGAACACAGAACAAAGCAAATGTTTCCTTGCTAAATCAAGTAGGCAATGGAAATTCCTGCATATTGTAGTACAACACATATTTATACTGTGTATGTCTGTGTGCATATCTATGTATAGACATACATATAAATGCATATTGGTAGAAAAAAAACACTTTTCAATTCAGGGAATACATAAGTACATATGCGTATTATATCGCACATGTTTATATGTAAAGTACATAGAAAAACAAATCAATCAATAAATTATGTATATATATACATTTATACTTGATTACATATATAAATATATATATATATATATTTATATATATGCAGGGGCGTCATCTCAGCTTTTTCTAGGGCGAGGCAATGGGCGAAGTGAGCACAATCAGGTGGGGTGACGTCGAGAAAAAATATGAAAAATTCTCGAAACTATACCCACAGCTATCTGTAATTTAGGCACACGCATTCACATACAGTGACACAACTGCATATATACACAATATATATACATATATATGTATACATGTGTATTTCGAATATATTATCGTTAGAAATACATGGACCATCTGTATTTCTGATGAAGATTTCGAAACCGGTTAAATACATTTCATGTATTGTGAAGATATTCATTCTCATTCATACCTTTTCTACATATATCGTTGTGTTAATAGAATATTCCGACATTAACGTCCTTTCGGAAATCAACTACTAGGCTTAACAGCAGAAACAGAAAGAAAAGGCGGAGAGACAGAGAATAACAAACATAGAAAAGAAACAGAGGAAATACAGAGAAAAACAGGCACAGAGAACTAGACAAAGAGAGAGTGAGAGAATAGGCGATGGACGGGGGAAATAGGAAAACATTTGAAAAATATGAATAAAAACCGAGTCAGTTCTAGGATACTATGTCCATCACGTATCATTCAGTTGAACTTTGAAGGTTCTTTCTCGCTTCCTCTCTATTGCTCTCGCTTTCTCCCTCTCTCCGACTCTTTGGATCTATGTACCGTGCATATATATACATGTGTGTTTGTGTTTATGTATATGTGCACTATACTAAACCATACACTTTTCAGATTGGGTTTATTGGATTAACACGCATATGTGGAAAAAAACGTTCGGATATCCAGCTACCGACACATTTTTCTACTAATTGTAAAGTGGAAACCTGCCAAGAACCACGACCTGATTTCAAAGCCAGTTCTCTACTTCTAAGCTATGCCACTTCTATACATTGATAGATGTACATTTACAGAAATATGTCTTATATGTGTATGCAATCTATATACTGTACAAGTGTGTTAACACATGTACAGTATAACGGGCTTTGTAATGTATAGTAGATCACATTTGATATCTATGCACACACCAAGACGGAGAAATAGAGTGACAGAGCGAGAGAAAAAAGGAAGAGACCAAGAAAAATATAACGCAGAGGCATCGACAGGGAAACTGCCTCAGCCCTTGTTTCAGGAAATCTTGCGTTGTCCTTTCTTATGAAGTTGCATTGTGACGTAATTACCCCCCTTCCCCCTCCCGAACCCGTGTATAAAAGCCTGGAACCCAAAACTGGGCTTACAGTCGAAGCTGCAGCCGATCTTTGCATCAGCTCAAAGTCTACTGAACACCCACATCCTATATTTTCAAGTAATAGCTTATAATATTAGTAAAGATTGTTGTGTGCCTCTTGACAAGAACTTTCATAAAGCGAATAGATTTATTAAACTACTTAAATATATCGGACTAAGGATTTTTAAATCAAATTTCACATTCTCTCCTCTCCCAGCCCATTTCCGTCTACAAAATGAAGTTCTTGGCCATTGCTGTCACCTTGTGCCTCGCTGTGCTGTGCACCCAGGCTTTACCAGCCGTAAGTATTTTCCCCTCTTTTTTCTCCTTCTTTCTATGTGGTTGTGATCAACTGTTTGTAGATGGCTGTATATGTTTACCAATGCAATTCTGTACATACTAACCAAACACCATATATTTGTTCCGGAATCTAATAGATCCTATATAAACTCGTGCATTATCAACATCTCTGAAGAGGGCATAATATTACTAGTGATAAAACCTTGTAATAATATAAATATGCTTTCTCACTTAACTGAAACATCAACAGCCGAAAAAAACAAGTGTTCCATTCCATCCTCATTTACTATTTAGTAACAACAAAACCTTTCATGCAGGAAATGCCATCTTCACCACTGCTGCTCAGTCGGATGGCCAGGTCACCTCAATTCCCTTACCCAGACTGTGTCCCGTGCACTTGTAAAACGACCATCACAGAAATTACCATAATCGAACATGAAGTAAGGCCAGCATCCACAAGGTTCGGCGGCAGCCCCCAGTGCTGCCCATGCCCTCCACCTCCCTTCTGATGCCGTACGTTTTTGAGGCTTCTATTATCTCTCCCTCTTATACACATACATATATATATAATTATGTGAGCTTCATATATTTACATAGATTTTTTTGTTCGTCCTTGTCTCTTCCTCTGTTTATCACGTTTCTTCTAAATACTTCTTTCTCACCTCATCTTTTCATAATTGATTATTGCATTTACTTCATGTATATTTGCAAGAAAGAAAACACGAACAAAATAGGAAAGGAAAACAAAACTGCGTTTTCAGTCAAACTCCAAGCCGCATCAGGCGATTGAATCGTGTAGAACTCGAAAAGTCACGCTCCATTTTCATTTCTGATTGTTTTATTTCAACTTTGTGAACTCGTTTCTCGGTTTATGGTTTTAGTTTTTGGTTTTGTCTTGTTTGCTTTTTGTTTTGTTTTTTGCGTTATAATTCCTAATACTGTTGTTCCTTTTCACAGGCTGTATCTCATGGACCGATGATTTCAATCCTCTCAATATGATTTAGACGGAAAATCATAAAAATCCAGAAAAAAAATAAACAAACTAAATAGTTATTATTGAATGTATTCATATGCAAATAAAATTGGTATAACTAACTAGAGAGGTTTTTTATTCTTGTGCAGATAGGCAATGGAAATGCGATCAGCATGTATTGCAGGATTAAGGTGCAACTTTCTCAGAAGCGTGTGGTGTCGATGTCTGAATAGTTGTTTGCTGCACGTCTCTCCAATGTATCTATTTGTCTATCATTATATCTCTCTTTCTATATGTGTGAACATACACACACATTACATATAAACACACTCATATATATATATATATATATATATATATATATATATATATATATATATATATATATATATGCATATCTATATACATACATGCACACAAAACAGGTACATGCATCTGTAATCACGACAAAAAAGCAAAGAAGAAGCAAATCGAAACAGAGAAAATGGCAACTATACCCACATGAGGAAAGTGCAAAATCTGCTTCTCCGAATCCCGGTTGGACGAGGGAGGGAAGGCACGCCCGTGAGGACTAGCCGTGCAAGACTCGTTAAACCTCGAGGGTAATAAAGGGTTGGGACTTCTGCGACACAGCAATAAGCAACTTTCTAATTTTAGCTGTGCCAGAGAGTTTAGGGAAAACTATACATTTTAAATCATCTGAAATATTTCTTCTCATACATACATATATACATATAGATTCTTTTCCTTTTTGTTTTAACTTTTCTGTGTGTGAATGCATATACATACATATACTGACAGATCAAGAGTAAATACAAATATTTAACAGTTTAACTCATCTGGTATAGTTCTTCTCATATACATACATTTATGCGTACATACATACATATATACTTTATTTTTTTCCCTTTCTTCCTCTTACTCCCATATATCATCAGATTGATATAGAGACAGACAGACGTAGATACATATACACATACATATAGGTGTCTTTGTTTATATACATAAAGAGATTGACAGATGGATAATGCTATTTTCACAGAAAGTATCTGACATTAACAACCATAGGAAGTTTACCATTCACTAATCTGACCGTAACACGAGAGAGAGAAAGACACACAAAGGGAGGCAGAGAGACAAAAACAGAAAGGGAAGGAGGAAAGAACGATGAAAACAAAAAGAAAACAAACATTGCATAAGGAAAAGGATAGCATTTTCTTCATGTGTCAGTCAGAAAAAGAATGAGTGTCTGTCTCTTTTTCTTTACATATCTGTATGTGTATATAAATATATATATATATATATATATATATATATATATATATATATATATATATATATATATATTTCGAAGTATGTATGTGTGCGTGTGTCTGTATTTAAATGTACACGGACACACGCACACACATATGTATGTGCGTGTATAGATATGTATGTATATATGCATGTATATAAACTTGTAGGAGCATATATATCTGTATACATAATGTGAATATAAAGTACATATATGTGTGTTTACTTGTATGTTGCAGCGATAGAATCCTACCCAAGGATCTGCGATTACAAGGAAGGGCATCCACTCGGAGCAAGAGCCGCCACCTGCCAGAACCAAAGTCCCTCAAGAGAAGGCACCGTCCTAGCCCTTGCAAGGAAGTTCTGTGACGTAAGATCGGATCAGTCATTACCAAAATTTATCTGGGTATTCATATATGTATATATACATCGATAAATGCACACACACACACACACACACACGTTGAGTCAGATTCGTAACATTATCAGGTTATCGAATCAGTTCCATCACCTGATGAGAATATAAGTAGGATTCGAAACGCCATGACATACTGAGATTTTTATTGTTTTATTTAGATTCTTAGCACTCGTTACACTATACTTTGTTTTATATATTCTTATGCTTACTCTCCAAGTACACCCCTCCATACAGTCCACCACAGGAGAAGAGAGAAATGAACAGCTAGCTTTTCTCAACAAGTAATTCACAGAAGACCTGACGGCCAGGTATTCTCTGTGTACTAATAAAGATGATTTTATACATTATTTCTCTGCACACAGCAATAGAACCAAAGAAGGCGTGATCATTGGTTTCTTCCTCTGAGCAAACAGAATCTGCAGCCCGGAGTTCCTGGAGGAGGAAATGCATCACTTCAGTAAACATTCCAACGCCTCCGTTACCCTTGCGCCTTGCCCGCCCACCTCCGACGCAAGGCAGAAAAGATCATGACCAGATCAAGAACACCACGCAGAACAAGACACACAGTATTATCATCCCACACTCGCAGCTGACAGAACACCTGGAGGCCCTGTTGGCCCGCACAATCAAGATAGTCACCACTGCTGGTAAGAAGATCGGAGATATCGTAAGGGAAAAGAGGTCAGACCACAAAAGACCTCTTAGCCAGGTGTACAGTATTCCTTGCGGCGGCTGCGATAAAGTTTACATAGGGGAGACAGGACGAGGCCTCTACGAACTAGCCAAGGTCGTCGCTCACCTGATTACCGACGTGACCTGTATATATACCATGTATATATACCTCTATATATATCTCTTGTTCTCTATGCCCTGATGAAGCAGTAAATGCGAAAAGTTCTTCGGCATATTCGTGTGTTTTCCTGTACTTCCCTTCGTTGTTCTACTTGCCGTGTATGTGTGTGTGTGTGTGTGTGTGTGTGTGTGTGTCAGATTCGTAACATTATCAGGTTATCGAATCAGTTCCATCACCTGATGAGAATATAAGTAGGATTCGAAACGCCATGACATACTGAGATTTTTATTGTTTTATTTAGATTCTTAGCACTCGTTACACTATACTTTGTTTTATATATTCTTATGCTTACTCTCCAAGTACACCCCTCCATACAGTCCACCACAGGAGAGGAGAGGAATGAACAGCTAGCTTTCCTCAACAAGTAATTCACAGAAGACCTGACGGCCAGGTATTCTCTGTGTACTAATAAAGATGATTTTATACATTATTTCTCTGCACACAGCAATAGAACCAAAGAAGGCGTGATCATTGGTTTCTTCCTCTGAGCAAACAGAATCTGCAGCCCGAAGTTCCTGGAGGAGGAAATGCATCACTTCAGTAAACATTCCAACGCCTCCGTTACCCTTGCGCCTTGCCCGCCCACCTCCGACGCAAGGCAGAAAAGATCATGACCAGATCAAGAACACCACGCAGAACAAGACACACAGTATTATCATCCCACACTCGCAGCTGACAGAACACCTGGAGGCCCTGTTGGCCCGCACAATCAAGATAGTCACCACTGCTGGTAAGAAGATCGGAGATATCGTAAGGGAAAAGAGGTCAGACCACAACAGACCTCTTAGCCAGGTGTACAGCATTCCTTGCGGCGGCTGCGATAAAGTTTACATAGGGGAGACAGGACGAGGCCTCTACGAACTAGCCAAGGTCGTCGCTCACCTGATTACCGACGTGACCTGTATATATACCATGCATATATACCTCTATATATATCTCTTGTTCTGTATGCCCTGATGAAGCAGTAAATGCGAAAAGTTCTTCGGCATATTCGTGTGTTTTCCTGTACTTCCCTTCGTTGTTCTACTTGCCGTGTGTGTGTGTGTGTGTGTGTGTGTGTGTGTGTGTGTGTGTGTGTGTGTGTGTGTGTGTGTGTGTGTGTGTGTGGTGTGTGTGTGTGTGTGTGTGTGTGTGTGTGTGTGTGTATGTGTGTGTGTGTGTGCGTGTGTGTTTGTATGTGTGTGTATGTATATGCGCGCGCGCGCGTGTGTGCGTGTGGGTGTGGGTGTGTGTGTTTGCATGTATGTGTGTATATATATATATATATAATATGAATATATATACATATATATATTCATATATATACACGTATGTATGCATATGTATATATATACAAATATATATAAACACACGCATGCACGCATACACATGCATATGTACACAGACACGGTCATGTGTGTATATATTGTATGTGTGTATACATATATTTTTATCAATTCGATAATTTGGTTTTTCCGCTTGTCACTTACTCCTCTGTCCTGCATCTCGGTCACCTCACGCGGGGCGGAGGTGATTGTGACGTTGGCCGGTGAGGTGACTGGCAATATTATCCAAGCGTGATTCCTGGATACGTTGGAGCTAGTTTCTGATTTTCGTTTTATTCGTTTGATTCATGTTTTGTAGCTTCATTCTGGAACTAAGAACTGAATCACCAAGCTGTTTCGATTCCCGTAGTAATGAAATGGGAGCGAGTATCGGCGGGAGAATGGAATTTATTTAAGTTATAATATAAGCTAGACTAGAAGTTATGATAATGTTATGATAAGTCATACTATAAGTTATATGTTATAGCATAAGTTGTAATAAGTTATATGTTATAATACAACTTATAAGCTATGGAATACGTTAGAATACAAGCTTTATATAAGCCAACGGGGACTCTGTGTCGTAGTGTGCGCCTATATTGTTGGTTATGATATTTGAGTTACTGTTGTCACTTAAGATGTCTTTCAGATGTCTAGCTTTTCCCAGACACACTCCCAAAGAGG